TCATAAAGCAGTTGGATGAACTCCTGTCCCCAGACAGATTTACGAAAGCAACACTGAAGGAAAAGTTTCCAAGTGCAAAAGTGACGTTCCTGAAGACTAAGTTGTTAAAAATAGCCATCTTGGATGGGGCAAGTTCTCTCATCTCCAGGCTCAGAGATATCTGGGCAGTTGTAAGGACCTGTGGTTCTCCCTAGACTTTATTAGTCACTTCGGAGCAAGGGTGAGGTCAACTTGGATTTAAAAAACTCTGCCTGGCCGAGTGCGGTGGCTCACACCTATAATCCTAGCACTTTGGGAGGTCGAGGCAGGCAGATCACCTGAGGTCGGGAGTTTGAGACCAGCCTGACCAACATGGAGAAACCCCGTCTCTACTAAAAATACAAAATTAGCCAGGCGTGGTGGCGCATGGCTGTAATTCCAGCTACTCAGGAGGCTGAGGCAGGAGAATCTGGGAGGCAGAGGTTGCAGTGTGCCGGATCGTGCCATTGCACTCCAGCCTGGGCAACAAGAGTGAAACTCCATCTCCAAAAAAAAAAAGAAAAAGAGCTTAAAGACTATACAAATAAAGGCATAATACAAGTCTTTGGGTGGCTTTACAGGTAATTTTATTTCTTCAAATTTTTCTATTTTATCCAAATTTTCAATGACAATGTAATTTTTATAACGGGGGGAAAAACCGAACTAAGATACGATAAAAAATCTTTTCAAACAACTTTCTTGGTGGGCCTGGACATGCTGTGAAATGTATTTTCTTCCCTTTTCCTAAATCAGACATAAGAAATAGGCAGAGAACCAAAGGCGGTGCAGGCCAGGGGCCTAGGGGCCTCATCTTGGATCTCAGCAGCGCAGCTCTCTGAGTAAACAGCAGCCTGAGTTCTCAGTGAGGGCTCTGCACCCAGGGCACTAACTCTTCTCGAGATCCACAGACAGGAGTGCTGAGACTGGCTTGAAGGAGGCTCAAGTCTAGAGCACACTTCACAGGGCAGGGCAGCCACCTCTCCTCCCCACGGGAAGGACCATGGCCAGGAGTACAAGGCACAGGTGCAGGAGGTTGGCCTTTTTCTCCCTGACTGTAGGCACATGGACCATGAAGCCTTTCCACTGCAGTGATTCCTAACCTTCAAGGAATTAAAGGCATTAGTATTAGTACATCATCCCATCACCTCTCAAAATGAAACGGTGACTATTTTTTCAATTAAATGGTTTTTGAAAATCCTAATTTGCATTTTAAAAGAGCTATGTGTGTATGTAAAAATAATACACATACACACACCCCCATATACATATGCAGAAACACATCTGTAACATAAAAGAAGTAACTAGCAATGGTGGTTCCTGAGGAGGAGACCTCACAGGAGAAAAACCAGGATGAGTCTGACTTCCCTCTGAATACCTTCTTCAGACACTTCCGATACATTTTCCAAAAACATGAATTTAAGATAATTTCTTTAAACAGTCCATTGGACCAAAAGAAAAATTCAGAGATCTCTTGAGACCCAAATTAGGAATCACTTATCTAAAACCAAAAAGTGGTGTTGCGGAGCCTTCTGCAAGCCAAAATGTACAATCTCCCATTCTTGGCTTTTAAATAACCTTTTTTTTTGAGACGGAGTTTCGCTCTTGTTGCCCAGGCTGGAGCGCAATGGCACGATCTTGGCTCACTGCAACCTCCGCCTCCCAGGTTCAAGCAATTCTCCTGCCTCAGCCTTCCAGGTAGCTGGGTTTACAGGCATGTGCCACCACATTCGGCTAATTTTGTATTTTTAGTAGAGAGAGGGTTTCTCCATGTTGGTCAGGCAGGTCTCGAACTCTCGACCTCAGGTGATCTGTCTGCCTGGGCCTCCCAAAGTGCTGGGATTATAGGCATGAGCCACCGCACCCGGCCCTTAAATAAATTTTTAAAACAAGCAATTTTTCCAAGCCTGAGCTGGTTGCAATTCACATCTTTTCACAGAACACAGATGTGCTCCTTCAAATGGCCATGCACTGCACCTACAAATTGAACATCCAAAATGATGTCTATCTCCCAACACGTCAGAATGATAACTCTGGAAAATATTCTTTTGATGTTACACCCATGGTGTAACAGAGGCTCTGTAGATCCAGAGACATCCTGGACATTCTCTGACATTCTGACTGTAGAAATATGCCACCATGAATTTAAAATTGCCAAAGCCACAATAATTGGCCATCTTTTTCATTCTTTCCCACATACTTGGGGAATTCAGTCAATTCCCTTATATAAGGTGGCAAAAAAATAAAAAACTTTTATTACCTTTTCTAAGTATAACTATCATCTGAAATGTATTTTCATTGCAGAAGACTGTTTTTTTTTTATTTGCATCCTTACCTCGAATCAGGTGTTAAGCCTACAGAGACATATATACATTAACCATTCTGCTTACCACTGGGATAACATGGGTGACTCCATCTCCGCTGTCAATGACTATCCCCGTTAACGTACGTTCGCCCACTTGTCGAGATGTCCAAGATGCCGCCAAGGCCAGCACTGCCTGGAGAAAAGACATGGAAACCACTCGCACATGGGAACTCTTTCTAAAGCATCTGTGGGCCTTTCCAGGTCCAATCAACAAACTCTCTTACTAAATATGTCTGAGTAACTCTTTCCTTTTCCTATCCATCCTCTGACCCCTGTCCCTCAAATTCCAATTCAGACTTGGACAACTAACACGAAAATGTTGAGACTTAAAACTACAGGAGTCAAGTTTTCGATAAAGAAACCTGGCTGAATGTGATGGCTCATGCCTGTAATCCCAACACTTTGGGAGGCCAAGGTAGGCAGATCACTTGAGCCCAAGAGTTCAAGACCAGCTTGGGCAACATGGTGAAACCCCATCTCTACAAGTAACACAAAAATTAGCCAGGTGTGGTGGCACGCACCTGTACTCCCAGCTACTTGGGAGGCTGAGGTGTGAAGATCCCTTCAGCCCAGAAAGTTGCAGCTAGAGTGAGCCATAATTGCATCACTGCACTCCAGCCTGGACAACACAGTGAGACCTTGTCTCAAACATGAAAGAAAAAAGAAAAGAAAAGAAACCTGAAGTTTTGCAAAGAAAAGCCAGTGAAAAAGATATTTCATTATAGAATCATAAGATTTTAATTTCTAATTCATTGGTTTCCAGTGTGGGGCCACAGATTGGCAATGAGTCCACTTGTGGAGTTGTTTAAAATACAGACTACTAGGCCTCACACCCAGGAATTCTAAACTGGAAGGTACAGGGTAATTTTTCAACCAAAGAAAATGTTGCCCCAAAGGGAACATCTGGCAATGTCTGGTACCATTTTCTTTGTCGGGGTGGGGAGGCTTGAGGTGGGGCTGCTGTCTTCTAGTGGACAGAGGCCAGGGATGCTGCTAAGTCCCCTGTAATGCACAGTGCAGCGCCCACAACACAGGACTACCCAGCCCAAAGCACTGAGGGTGGAAAACGCTGCTCGAAGATGAAGCCCAAAATCTGTACTTCTAAAAAACATTCTCCAGGTAAACTTGCTGCACAGACCACTTTGAGAACCACCAGTCTTATGTCTCCTAAAGTGTTTCCCTATCCCATGGAATACAAATAACTTAGCCAGGGGGAAGATCTGTAGTTAAATGAATTTGGAAGGGCTAGAATACATAGATTTCGACACAGGAATCCTCAGAGCCTGGACTGTGCTGACAGGCACTGTGAATCAGCCCGAGAAAGCTGCAGGATGCAGCACCGCCCAAATTCATCTTTCTATGGAACTCTTCCTCCTTCTCCTCCTCAGAAGTGACTAGTAGTAGCAGGAAACATTTGGGCAACACCCATCTCATTTATTCCCCAAAATTTCGGTCAATTCCCTTATATAAGGTGGCAGGCAAATAATGACCAAATGCGACCAAATGCAACCAAAAACCATCATACCCAGAACCGCAGCTTCAGAACAAGTTCTGCGAGCTCATGAAAACACAGGGCCCCTCAGAATCAAGTACACCGGGGCTCATAAGAGCCCAAAATCAGAAAGCAGAAACCTCTAAAGGTATTTATTTTGTTTTTCTGATCAAAGTAAGTCAGAGATGTCATAAGAAGAGGCATGTCTACACCTGTATCTTGTCACTCAGATAAAAATGCATTAGACTTTAATGCATGTAAAAAGAGCCAGACGACATCTATACCAAAAAATGGCATAAATATGAAAAGAAAAGTCACAGGACACATTCCCTGTAGTCCTGAATGGCATGGGGGCGGGGCAGGGAGTGGAAAAAGGAAGGGTGCACAGTGCAGTCTTCCAGCGGAGAACCTTGGGAAATGCCATTGCTTCCACTATTAGACAGCTCACGTGCTTCAGGAATCACAAAAACAACTGCTTTTACCTGAACTGCAATGTAGAGTCCTGGTACGTTAAACGATTCAAACATAATTTCTGCAAGATACTCTCTGTTTTCCGGTGTATTGAGTGGAGGCTCTGTCTGTAAGAAAACATTCACTATATTTAGTATTTGCCCAAATTTCATGTAAATACATCAGAACCATAAACAGGTTAACCAGAAAGTATGTTAGCAAGGACATTATACAACTCCCTGATTTTAGAGATAGAAGATGCCCAAAGTGTATTAAAGAAATCTGGCTGTGGGCCTTAAAAGCTTTAAGATGGCAGAGTAAAGACCTCTCTGAAGGCTTCTGTTCTTCTTACCCACCCAAAATAAGAATGAGTTACAGAAAAAGAAACTCTGTCTTCAATAACATAACACCTAAACACCATGAAACTGAATATCCCAGAAGCAAGTTGCCAAGGGCTGTGAAAACACAACCAAGACGAGTGAGGACACCAAAGGCAAACCAGTGACTTCAGGTCTCAGCAAAGGAGAGCCAGAGGAGCAGCAAGCCCTTGCTCAGGACAGGCCCAGTGTGAGGAGCCATAGGGTGGCAGAGCAGGCAAGGTTAGGCCAAGCACCCTTACAGTCCAGTGGCAAGGGAAGAGCCCAGGGCAGAGCACAGCTTCCCCCAGACGCTGCCCAGGACCTCCCCAGCCTACCCACATGCCATTAGTTCAGAAGAACTCTGCTCATTCAGAGAAGAGTAAGGGGCACAAAGAAGCCAGCCAACAGTGATATAAAAACACTCAAAGAAAAAGAAAAGGGACAGAGAAAATAGGAAAAACAAATGGCAGACAAAAAAACGCCTATCTAGGAGCAGGTGGGTAGCTCACATCTATAATCCTAGCACTTTAGGAGGCTGAGGAGGGAGAATCATTTGAGTCCAGGAGTTTAAGACCAGCCTGGGCAAACTGGTCGAGACCCCACCTCTACGAAAAAATTTAAAAGTCAGCCAAGTGTGGTGGCACATGCCTGTGATCCCAGCTATTCGGGGGGCTGAGGTAGGACCACTTGAGCCTCAGAGGTGAAGGCTACAGTGAACCGAGATTGTGCCACTACACTCCAACCTGGGTGACAGAGCAAGATCCTGTCTCCAAAAAGAAAGAAAAAAAAACGTATCTGGAAAAATATTAAAACAAAGCAGATAAAAATTCCCAAGAATTTCCAAAGACATTTCCAAGAATCCAAGTATCTATTTTAAAATAACCATCATCAAACAGGAGGAAATGACAGATAACAGAAACAGAAAAATAAATAAACCTGATTTTTGTCATTCAACAATATACTATGAACATTTTTCCTTGTCAACAAATATGGGTCTACATCTCATATTTAAAACTGAAAAAATAAAAAGTCCCTGGACCTTTGGGCAAAACGTATACATTACCCTTTATTACGAATGAACTGTGCTTCCCACACCTCCAATTCATAGATTAAAGCCCTAACTCCCACTGTACTATAGTTGGTAACAGGGCCTTTCAAGAGGTCATCATGGTTACCTGAGGTCATAGGGGTGGGGCCCTAATTTGATAGGACTGGAGGAAGGTCTTCTAAGAAGAGGAAGAGACACCAGAAATCAATCTCTCTCTCCTATTCTCTCCCCACTCTACACTCACACAGGGGAAAGGCCTGTGAGGACACAGCAGGCAAGGGGACCACATATAAGCCAGGAAGAGGGCCGCACCAGCAGCCAACCCCGACAGACCTCGATCTTGGACTTCTAACCTCCAGAACTGTGAGAAAATCACGAACTGTCTGCTGTTTAAGCCACCCAACCTGTGGTATAAACAAAATTACAGCAGCCAAGTAGACTAATACACCCCTACGACAGGGAAAGTACAGTCAGCCTCAGCCTTCAACACTGCTACATTTAACACTAGGACACATGCGGCCACACTTAGAGTCTTCAAGGGAAGAAGGTACAACCCAAGAATTCTACATCTGGCCACAGTGTCAGTCAAGTATGTTACAAAATCAAAATATCTAATATTTGAGACGACGGATATGCTAATTACCCTGATCTGATAACCACACATTATATGTATCAAAACTTCACTCTGTACCCCATAAATATGCACAATTATTATGTGTCAATTAAAAAAATAAAACAATAAAATAAAATACTAAGGAGAAAAAATATATATCCTTAAACATGTAAGAACTTGGAAAGTTTCATTCCCATGAGCCAAAATGTACGGATTCATGAACTATTAGAGGATAAACTTTATCCAACCAAGAAGAATGCAGAAAGTCCAGCAAAGACTTACAGTGAGCAATGAAGCCATTTAAGATGTAGGAATAAAGACTTTTCTTTGGCCAGGCACAGTGGCTCATGCCTGTAATCCCAGCACTCTGGGAGGCCGAGGCGAGCGGATCACCTGAAGTCAAGAGTTTGAGACCAGCCTGGCCAACATGGTGAAACCCTATCTCTACTAAAAATACAAAAATTAGCCGGGCATGGTGGTGCACACCTGTAGTCCCAGTTACTTGGGAGGCCGAGGCAGGAGAATTGCTTGAACCTGGGAAGCAGAGGTTACAGTGAGCTGAGATTGCACCACTGAATTCCCGCCTAGGCAATGGAGTAAGACTGTCTCAAAAAAAAGACTTTTATTTTCTGGGAATTAAGAACAGAATGTAAATGTTATAAATTTTAACAGAAAAAATGGTATCAAGTTGAGCAGTGTACAAAGAAAGAAGGAGAGAGTGTAAAGACATTTGCCTCTTACAGTGAGATCAAAAGATATTATTTAAAACTGATAAAGAATCACAGGCATTAGTAAACATAAAGTTATAAATGTTAACATTGTAACATTGGAATTAGTTTAGTAACATCATTAATCAAAAGCAGGTGGTGGAGAGAAGGAAGGGGAGGCAAGAACATGTGGCAATACCAACCTGGTCACTGATTACAGCAGGAAGGAGATAGTTACCCCTAAACAAATACAGGGTAAATATATCAAATTATACTAAAATATGCAAAAATGAGTCCTTTTAATTATTACTAAGAACACACACCCAATACAAAGCAAAGAGAAAAATAAGTCTTCAGTTAAAAAATACTAATACACAAATAAAACACATTAAAAACATGAAGCATAACATTTTTAAAAAATAGTTAAATTAAGACCAAACATATCTGTCACACAGTAGCATGCCACACCAGTCTGATTAAGAGATCTGAGGTCAAACTGACTGGGATCAAATCCCAGACTTCCACTTTACTAGGCTTGGTAAACTATTTCCTCTCTCTCCCTGAGTCTCCTCATGGGTAAAGTGGAGGTAATTAGTACCCCGCTCAGAGAGTTGCAAAGATTAAAGGCAGTCTAAATAATGTGCTTCGAGCAGTACTGGACACACAGATGTGTTCAATGGCAGTGAGTTGCTATTACTAAAATTATCAGCAAATATAAATGGGAAATGCAACTACTAAAAATCTCTCAGTTAAAAACAAAACCAAAATCAAATTACATTCTGAGGTTAAGAGACCCAACTAAAACAAAGTAGCTTTGAAAGGTAAAAAGTCAACACTGTCTGTATCAGAAGATCAGAAACAACCTAAATACCCACCACTAAACACTTTGGAACAATTTTAAAAAATGAACTCTATGAAGAAACAATCTCTATGATGAATTGCTAAATTAAAAAGAGAAAGGTGTCTTCATTCCATACACATTCTCAAATATCCTTCTGCTTCAACTTTTTTTTTTTTTTTTTTTTTGAGACAGAGTCTCACTCTGTCACCCAGGCTCCAGTGCAGTAGCCCAATCTTGGATCTCTGGGAGACTCCACCTCCTAGAATTCAAGCAATTCTCCTGCCTCTGCCTCCGGAGTAGCTGGGATTATAGGCACATGCCGCCATACTCAGTTAAATTTTGTATTTTTAGTAGAGACAGGGTTTCATCATGTTGGCCAGGCTGGTCTCAAACTCCTGACCTCAAGTGATCCACCCACTTCAGTCTCCCAAAGTAGTAGGATTACAGGCATAAGCCACCATGCCAGGCCAAAAACTATTTTTAAAAAACAAAGTGTGGTAGCCAGGTGTGTGCCTGTAGTCCCAGCTACTCAGGAGACTGAGGTGGGAGGATCACTCCCGCCCAGGAGTTGGAGGCTGTAGTGGCTGTATGACTGCACCTGTGAATAGCCACTGCACTCTAGCTTGGACAACACAGAGACTTCCTCTCAGAAAAGAAAAAAAAAAAAAAATGAAACAGGCTGAGCACTGTCGCTCACACCTGTAATACCAGCACTCTGAGAGGCAGAGGCAGGTGGATCACCTGAGATCAGGAGTTCAAGACCAGTCCGGCCAACATGGAGAAACCCCATCTCTGCTAAAAATACAAAAATTAGCTGGGCGTGGTGGTATATGCCTGTAATCCCAGCCACTCGGGTGGCAGAGGCAGGAGAATTGCTTAAACCCAGGAGGCAGAGGTTGCAGTGAGCTGAGATGGTGCCACTGTACTCCAGCCTGGGCAACAAGAGTTAATTCCATCTCAAAAACAAAAAACAAGGTGGGGGGAGAGGGGAAATATGGGGACTTGTTCAATGAGCACAGAGTTTCAGTTTTGCAAGACAGAAAAGTTCTAGAATCTCTTATGCAACAGGGTGAATATAGTTAACATTACAGAATTGTACACTTAAAAATGGCTAAGAGGGTACAAATAGTATTAGTTTTTTTTTTACAATTTAAACCAAAAAAAAAAAAAAGTTTAATTCAAAATCCAAGGTGTACAACAGTATGCAAACTGTGTTACCATTTGTGTAAAATAAAACTGTGTACTAGCCAGGTGCAGTGGCTCACACCTGTAATCCCAACACTTCAGGAGGCTGAGGCGGGTGGATCACGAGGTCAGGAGTTCAGACCAGCCTGACCAACAGAGTGAAACTCTGTCTCTACTAAAAATACAAAAATTAGCCAGGCGTGATGGCATGTACCTGCAGTCCTAGCTACTCAGGAGGCTTGAGGCAGAGGAACTGCTTGAACCCGGGAGGCAAAGGTTGCGATGAGCTGAGATCGTGCCATTGCACTCCAGCCTGGGCTACAGAGTGAGACTCCATCTCAAAAAAAAAAAAAAAAAAGTGTGTGCTAACCCATA